AGTTATTCTGGCTACCTTGTTCTTTCACTTCGCTTTGAAGAGAGGTAGAACACTGAACCCTGTATTCAGAACATCCTTCTGCTTCAGGCTCACTACACCTTAATCTTACAGACATACTCCTCCTCCCAAGGAAGAATTTCTGCCATCTGCATACATTCATTTTCACACTTTGGAAAAATCTCCCTATCTTTTTGTTTCCCAACTCAAGTCATCAATAACAATCAACAACAGTTATGTTTGGATTTGATTTTGCAACACTTGAGTAGTTAACCCCTCTACTGATAAGCCTTCCAGAGCCTGCCTTGTTTCTCCTTTGCTTTTCAAGCATTTCAGTCTTTGCCGAAAAGAACGCTGCGGCTTGCTCAGTATGTAAGTGTTGCTCCTTCTTGAAATATGGTAAGTGTGCTAATAAATAAGTAGTAGCAAGAAAAGTCTTCTCACTTGCTTTGAAAACCATATCATTAGTCCATACATGAATGAAGTTACTGCACTGCTTGCTGAAGTCACTCACGCTGGATATATCTTACGGGAAATAACAAATACAACCATTTCCATCACAAAATTGTGAAAAAATATTAGTTGACAGCCTGTTTGGCTTGGTTTTGTTTTTTCCACTGAGACTTTCAGAATCATTTATAAAGGTACTTGCTATATCATCTAGCCAAGAGTTGACAGAAGTGCTTACAAGCTTTTTTCTCTGCACCCTTTGTTATTCATAGATCTCTCCATCTTCCCAGAAAGGTAAGTTCAGTTACTAAAGATATTAGTAAAAAGAGTACAAGAGATATTGGTCTCATCTCTTTTACACTAGATGGGAAAAGCCTTGTTCATTATGCACAAAAGTAAAATTCATGAATTCCAACAAGCAAAAATTGTTTGATTTGGAGAAAGATGTTATAACACAGTAATTTACACTTTAGGAGGCAAGAATGAGGGCTGCCCTTATTTTGTCAGTTGACTCTTTTGGGTATCATCTTCCGAAAGTACTAAGCACTTGAAGCTGCAAGGATGAAAGATCAAAAAGTCAAAAACCCCCACAACCTGTACACTTACTTCCTTATAAGTCACGCATTGATGACAGTCCCTCAAATTCAACTTCGTACCTGTACTTCCTGAAACGATGTTTATTCAATAACTTCTTTCATCCTTTCAGAAGACATTTGATTTTAAATTGAAACTTACAATACACTTTAAAAAGTTTTATCTTCATACTTTTTGATTTAAAAATAGATTCAGCATCTTCAACACGATATATCAACACCCTTAAACCCAGTCCATGCCACCAATTTTTCATACAGTAATAGTTTTTCATGTCTGCTCATAATTTGAAGAGATTTCACTAATCATTTTACGTGCATGGAAATGGTCTTTTTAATAGAGAAAAAAGTGATGCCTGTCTATACATCCTCAGCTCAAAACATACCCTTTCTGATAGTTTATACAGTCATCTTTAATCTCCAGTTTACATGTAAGATAGAAAGGCACTTCCTACCAGCACTGAGTTTTCCCACTCCAAATGTGATCACCGTGTTTGGCACCAGCTCTGCTTGTTAGCAGTTTTATTCCTTAATCCTGCCACAAATAAGGTGGCAGATCTAACAAGGTGTTCTCACTATTTTCAACTTCAGATTAAAATATTTAGATATCAACTAGATAACACAGTACACTGCCTCACTTTCCTCCAATTCCTGTAAAGGTATTCCTCATTCAAATTCACAGTACATTAGGTTTTCACACTACACCTCACTTCCAGTTTAGCTTCTTTCTTCTGGAACCTCTCTTAGAATTTCAACCACAACTTCTTTACACAACAACTCAGAGTGACTTTACATTTACATAACCAAAATAGAGACTGGAAACGTATACATTTCAAGTGATGTGAACCTAGCAGCTGACCAAACACCCCAACAAAATATCTGCCAAATAACAAAACTCCATTTGTTAGGCTGCTCTAACTTTACCTCGGCCTTAGTCTTACAAAAGGACAGCAGGAAACCCAATAATCCCACTGGCAGTGCAACGGACCAGTTGTCCAGGATTTTAATTTTCCTCCTGGAAAACACCATAATGTTTTTGTTCATTTTCTCTTTTAAGTAACAGCTACAGATTGCTGACACTCTCTGCAAATGACAGGAAAAAGGAAGCATTCGTCATCATAAATACTGTAAAGAGAAAAATATTTTGTCTGTACTCACGTACACCAAACTAAGCTTTCTGCCTGTTCATTGATCGCCATGTCCATCCGCACTTTGTTGCTTCAAAACACTCCCTTCTGTGTTTCAAAGTGAAAAAAAGATACCTCCTATCCAAACAAAGGGAAGCACCAACATCACTCAATGGACCACAGAAGAATGGATCATGACTTAGAGAACGGAGACAGAACGTAAGGAGCTTTCCCCACTACCAAATCCCAGTGGAGAAGCTAGAACATTTTCCAGGGTATGTCACAGCCCAGGCTGAACGAGGTAACCCCTACAGGCACAGAAATGAGAATGCCATAGTTGTTAAATACACTCTAAGAGGTTTTCAATAAGCGTTTGACATGTCTTTCTACTGCTTTGAGATTTTCAGTTACTGCAAGACTGAGTTAATGCAACTTCATTGTTATCGAAAATCATCTGCATCAGAAATCCTTGCTGCACAGCTCACGAGCTAATTGAGTCTGTGTTATCCCTCTACCCACACGCAAATGTGGAAGCCAACTATTAATACCGCCGGCAGGACCTTCAAAACCACAGGATTACCAGACAATGTGTACCTACTTGTAACCATGCTAGGCAGACTGTAAGCCTAGTACTGGCATCCATCATTTTGCTTTCAACATGATTCTTTCTGCTGAGAATGAACAAATGGATTTTCCACGATGAAATCCACTGAGGCCAGCCTCTCTCTCAATTCGACAAGTTTTGCACTCATCACCGCCACGCGAAACAGGTTTCGGAGGGAGCATCACAGACACTCCATAGGAGTCTTAACTCACCATTCAGACCGTCTGTCCACACTCGTGCCTTGAGCACCCTCGCTTCAGTGATGCCTACTGCAGATCACACCTCTTCCCTCATCTGCCTTAAACCAGGCAGATCCAACAACAAGCATGGATTGTGAGCAGCACCAATTACACCGCTTCTGACTTTCCTTAGAAACGCAATTAACACGGGCGAGGGGGGGTATTTTGATTTATTTTACACACCAAACTGGCCACCCCCTTCCTCTTCCCAGCGGTGAGTCTGCATTTTCCTTCCTGGCCCGCTCCTTTTTAGGCATCCAAACGGAGTCGGTGCCCAGCCCGGCCCTGCTGCCCCGCCCGGGTGCACCGGCCGGGGGTGCCGTGCGGTCGCCGGGGACGAGAGGGGACGGGAGGGAGGGAGGACGGGCAGCCGCCGCCACCGCC